AGTTTGCAACTTTGACTTTCTTGTAGGATGAAAATGAAAATGAGTTTGGTGAGGAAGATGGTTGGGAATACATAGAAGGGCCTGCAGAAGTAATCTGGAAAGGAGAAGAGATAATTCTGAAGAAGAAACTAATTAAGGTTCCTAAGAAGAGTGTTGAACCTCAGAAAAGCCTAGAGGTATCCATTCTGCAACCAGGCCTTTATTGTTCTAGATCATCACTGTTTATGATTAATAATTTTTTTCCTGGCACATGATGCAATGAAAATTTTTATGATCCTATATATATTCTTTTTGTAGGATGCTCATAGGCCTACGTCAAACCCTCTTCCTCCACAATCTGAAGCTTTTACCGATTATAAGAATGCAACAATTTCATCTAGACAAGTGATTGAGGATGTTGCAAGCCAAGTGCCAAATTTTGGAACGGAACAGGCATCTCTCTCTCTCTCTCTTTCTCTCTTTTCCTCTGTATACCGACCACCTGTAACATATTCATTCTCAAGTAGTTCTATAGTTAAGTTCAATTGTCATATGAATAAATAAGCTTTACCTATCATTTTTTTAATATGTCAGGATAAATCACATTGTCCATTCCATCTAAAAACTGGAGCTTGTCGATTTGGTCAGCGTTGTAGCAGAATTCACTTCTACCCTGACAATTCATGTACATTGCTTATCAAGAACATGTACAATGGTCCTGGCCTTGCTTGGGAGCAAGACGAGGGGCTGGAGGTCTGTTAATGATGCTCATACAATTATTGTATCCTCAAAATAACTCGGAAGTATCGTTTCTTCTTCAATTATCTCTGAAATTGTTTTGAAAGATCTCTGTTAGGAGACACCTGGATTTTTCAACTCTATTTGTGGATGTTTAGGTATACATTTGTTTTCAAATATCAAATTATATGTATGGTTAGATTAGTAAGCATTATTGATGATTTTAACTTGTTCTGGTGCATGTTATGATTAGAGAACTCACCAAACTAAAATATAATGCAGTTACTTTTGTAGTCTTCACATGCTCATTTTGAGTGGAAAGAAAGAGATCACGAGGCCTGATCTTTCACCCTTTGTAATTTGGTGTTATTGGGTTAATTTAATGTTGCTTTATCAGCTGCAAATTTTGATCTAAGCTGTTAAAATTAAAAATGGATTTCATCAATGTATTGGAAATTCATCTTACATCCAAAAGATCGATTATACTTTGAGTTTGGATTTGAGGCATGATCTTTGGTGAAATACTTTATGAAGCTTATTTCTTGGGAATTTGGCAACTGGCAAAATTTATCTTCATAGTCAATCTCTTCCTTAGATGCCTTATGCAACCATTATACTGAGGTTTCACCATTATATATGGTGCATTTATTTTTATATTGAATTTCTTTGACCTACATTATATCAGAGATTTACTGCAAGATTTGTGTTAAATTTTCATGGAAGGTTACAGTTTTGCTCTTGAGTGCTTTGGAGTTGATAGTACGAAAACCAATTTTGTATCCTACTTGCATTATTTTCTTAATTATCATATATTATTTTTCTTACTAGCTCATATTTTTGTGAGAGCATTTTGCATTCTTTATGCTATTACCCCCGTTATTTCTCAGCTGAAGAAATTGTTTGTCATTCTGTGAACTCTATACATGTATATCTTTCTCTGCATGCAGTCTACAGGGTTGTAATTGGTAATAGCTATAAACTTTTATGAACTACAATAAG